TTTTTTAATACACAAAAGTTTTTTTTTTTTTTTCGTTTGCTTCATGTGACGACATGTTTTCTCATCAAATCCAAACATGTTTTTAAATAATTCCAAGATTTTTTTAACTCATTCATACTATATGATTACAATTGTCTTTTTTTTTTTTGGTCGAGATTACAATTGTTTTAGTGTTAAAAATTATTTTAATCCTAAAACAAAAAGTATTTTATGGAAATAAAAAGTAATCCTAAAACAAAACCACTTTTAAACCAAAGAAAATTGCTCTGTTTTCTCTCCTCTAAAACGGCGACTCCGAGAAACCCTAGCTTCTCTAAGAAGGGAGAGTTTTCGTTCTAAGGGAGATTGATTCAAAAAGAAGCGATAGTTTGTTTAGTTGTCTGGCTTTTTGTCTTTGCCAAATTCGAATTTTCTGGTATTGTACGGTGCTTTCAATTTCATTGTCGATTTCTCTCCCTTCGATCAGAGTCTTTTCAATAGAATCGTGTTGTTGTTGTTGTGTTCTCACTACCTAGATTGATTTCCAGTGTTCTCACCAGGAACAGAATTTGACGCAACTCGCAGAGGATCTCAGTATTGATTCCGAGAAGGGATATTAAGTAATCATCCTTTTATCAGAAAAAAAGTAATCAAACCCTTTAGATTATCCATCAAGAGAAATTTCAAAAATTGCCATTTTTCAAGTGTCACTTTACAAAAATGCCACACTTTTGAAATCTTTACAAAAATGCCACTTTTTCAAAATTATTTTTTCTTTATATNATTTATGTTTGGGTTAATTATGTTCTATTAGGGTTTAGTTNTGAGNNNTTANGGGGTTTTAGGNGTCAAAACATTTTTTAGGGTTTAGAATTTTAAGATATAGGCTTTATAAATTTACAATTAGTGACATTTTTGCAAATGGGCACCTCTAAGTGGCATTCTTGCAAATGTGTACACAAAAAGTGACATTTTTGTAATTGCCCCATAGATCAATTCTTTGTCTTTCTTCCATATTTATTCCATCAGTTACTGTCTGCTTTGTCACAAAACTATACCTTGTTCATTGTCCATATCTCATAGGCTTTCTGTATAATTCACAAATTTGATCATTGTTAGGTCGAGTGTATACAATCCTCTGTTACATGTGTTACACTGTTTAGTTTCAATTTTGGTACACACAACACAAATAAATTAAGAACTATAACTCAGAGTTTTCTTTGAGAAATTCCAACAGACCATCTTTTACTTACTGATAATTATGGCTTTTTCGAATCTTCTTATCAAACATGTCTGCACCCATGTCTAGAAAAAGACAGACTCACGACTAGTCAGTCTTGGGATTTCCCGGTGCATTTGTTTTGATTAGTCTTTTAAAGGTCATTGATTTTCTTCGATTATAGTTTTCCGTTGTGTTCTTCCCTGATTTTGATTTTGATGTTCTTTATTTTCAATTCTTCGATTTCTTTTTACAAAAATGGATTGTGATTTTCCTATTTTGGTGAACTAGGATGAATCGAGGAGGTTTCAAAACGAGACATGAGGATCTGATAAACGATAAAGATGAGGTTTTTGTCATTGCTTTGATTATTTAACTATTATAGTAGCACGTATTAACAAAGTACCATTGCCCTACGTCTACAACCATTTCAGATTGGTGCTAAGCCAATAGAACCTGACCATTTGCAAGAGGATTGCTCTCCACGTTTTAAGAGGAAATCTCATGCTATAAGAGAGAGGAAATCTCATGCTATAAGAAGCAGAGCAAAGAAGAGAGCAAGAAAGGTATATTTATATTATGGTTTTGTTTTTCAAGTTTCCAACCGTTTTCTACACATTTTCTTTGTTTCAATTCATTTATCTTATTTGTCTTCAACAAACAATGTCAGAATAACATATGCATAAGGTATTATTTGTTTAGATATCTTATGATGTTATATGTTTCTTTTTTTTAAAACAGTTTTGGGAAGTTATTTGTTTGTTATCGCCGTGAAGAGAATCTTGAACTAGCGCCGTTGGAGTCTTTTGTTTACATGAGTACGTACTACATCTTGATATTGTTCACACATTTTGCAATGATTCGGCATTTACTCTTTCGATCCCAACTTCAACATTTTACTCTTATATTTTTGTTTTTTTTTTTTGCTAAAACACTATGTTTTTTGAAACAGATTTTGGAGTAACATCTAATTCCCGTCTACAATGAAATTCTCAACCAGAGGGTTTGATCCACATTGAGACTCTATAGTGAGATTCTCAACTAGAGTTTGCTCTCTAACCGAGTTGATCCACTATAGAGTCTCCATAGTGAGATTCTCAATTAGAGTTTGCCCTCTAACCGAGTTATCCATATATGGAGGGAGTTAAAACAATGATTTCGTCAAATTACCGAGGTGAAGTATACTCATACTCTTTCTCTATAACTTTGTTTTTTTTGGACTAAACCTAGAGTTGGAAAGCAATCCAAACTAATTACCATTTGGATTTGGATATCTATAAGTATCATCCAACTTTAACAT